GACGAGCCCGTCCTGGCTTGCGGGAAGGCGGAATGCCCGGTGCCGGTAACCTGGGCAGCCTGCAGGGCCCTATTAATAGCGGCCAAGCAGGAGAAGAATTAATTGAAAAGACGTGGTGTGTTGACTTCTGTACACGCATGCATTGCGTTTTCATGGTTTGCAGCCGTTAAAGACGATGTTCGCGTATGGGAGATACTGTGGTGTCTGTAAATGGAAGATATGCCCCATTCTTATGCTGATTTATAACTTTGAATCTGTGGGGGGAAAGAAATTAGCCCATCTGAAGAATCTTTTGAAGTTCTGTAGTTAAAGCCAGAAGGGGTCTAGCTCCTGTACGATACAGAATATGAAACTTCTTTATCGGTGAAAAATCTGTCAGTTTGAAGAGCAAACATTGCTTGGTATTTCAAAGTACCTTTCTCATTTTGGGGATGGAGAGCGCCGAGATGGTTGTGTTCTAGGACAAAAGGCTTCTCTCTTCGAACAGATATAGTAAAAAAAAAAATGTTAAATTACGTTTTTATTGCCCAGGAGATTGATTAAATAGCATGTGAGAGAGTGTAGAAATTGTGGAGCTAGTGCTGATACTAGACCTTAAAAGAAAGTAAGTCTTACAGAAGTTAAAAAAAAAAAAAAAGCCCCATCCAGTTCAGCCCTTCTCGTTGGCATTCTGTATAATGCATACACATATATGCTGTGATTTTGAATTAGTTTAATGCCAGTACATTGAAACTCACGGGTTCAGAACCTGCAGGTGCAGCACAGTTTCTTCTGGCAGCTGTTCAATCCCGAGTGAACACAAATAGCAATAATATTTTGGCTACAGAGAGGTCCGCTTTGGAAGAGGTAATCCAAACAAAGAAACTATTCCTTGAAGAAGAATAAGAATAGTGTTGTAAAATGGGTGCAAAGAGCTGGTGTCGTGTCAGAGAAAGTAGGGAGGAGAGCCGTGGTGTTTGACTTGGTATCTCGCTCTGAGATGCGCCATCCCTCGCGGTTTGGAGTGGGACTGCGTTTGTGAAACCCAGCCCTCTGCCTGGAGAATAAATGCAGCTCTGGTACGTTTGAAGTCTGTGGTTTAACAATGGCGATAATCTACCCTTTGCAGAGCATTGCTGAAGTGTTCCGATGTTTTATTTGTATGGAGAAATTGCGTGATGCACGACTGTGTCCCCATTGCTCCAAGCTGTGCTGTTTCAGTTGTATTCGGGTGAGTTTGCTTATTATAGTTTATTCTTGCAAATGTATGAACATAAAAACTACTGATCTTACAAACACATTCTTTCTTCTTTCTTGCCTATGTTCCTGGAGTTGTAAGGATTCCTTTTTCCTGCTCTGTGGTCTTCAGTTTCCCTTTCAAAATCTTTTATGACACCCTGAGGAAAAACTAGGCAGGCTGTGCATTGCATTCAGTAGTGCTAATTGTAGGCACTGTCTGGAATAACTGCTTTTAAGAAACAGACATATAATGATCCCTTCTTTAGCATCTTTTGAGAGTCAGTGATGCCTGTATGGAAGACGAAAGGTGGAACAGGAATCAAATGCTGACTTTACATCTGTCAGTATGGAGCACTGGAAGGTCATAACAACACCTCTTGTCATCTTGGAGATGTCTTAAAATGCTTACCAAACTAGTATGATACGATCAGGGCCACATCTTTCTTGAGGGAGACTGGTATGGCAGGCTGAAGCAGCAGCTGAAGTACCTAAATTCATTTATTAAGGTCACGGTTACCAGCGTACAACACTTCAATTCCAGGTCCAGCCACTGTGATACGTTAGTGGAGTGGGAGAGGGTTCAGCTGAGGTTTTCAGGCCTCCGATAGTATTCCCAGAAACGGGAACAGACAATCGTCATCCGCTTTGAAAGCTGTGACAAGATCTATGGGTGAAGGAATTCGTGCTACATACTAAGAATGTTAGATGACATATTGTTGCTGGGTGGTGAGAGATTATTCATGAGGATCTTTGAATGTAGTAGCGAGCTGACGAAGACAAGCTCTTCAGCTGCTGAGCTTTTACACTTCTAAGTTGTGGTGGGCAGATGAAGTTCTTTTCTGAGCTACTTGTCATTGGAGCTTTCGGGAAGAGGAACATTCAGAGGGTCCTTGTGGGTTTGATCGTTGAACTGCAGGTATCTAACTTGCATGTAAATAGCTCAAGAGGGAGAAGTAAGTTACCTTGAGAACTGATAATTTAGACTCCAAAAACTATGCTTGCTGTATTTTTCTTTTGTTGAAAAATGACTATGGAAGTCTGTGCCAGATGTGTGGTTTCTTATGGAATATTTGGTACCTCAAAATTCTCTGTATAATTTTAACTGAAGTGCTGTTGCCATCTAAAGAAAAGTGGTTGCTTTGTTACTAAGATACAAATAGCAGCTTCTTCTGTGGCTCAGTGGTTGAACAGTTAAATTACGAATCTGTAAAATAAGGAAAAATGTAGGAAGACTGTAATAAAAAAGTAACTCCTAATTAACAATATAAGTTGTTGCTTGCTCTTCTTTTTTTACAGTCTTATTAAAAAACTTTTTCCTTTTTCCTTCATAGCGTTGGCTGACTGAACAAAGAGCTCAGTGCCCTCATTGTAGGTAAGGTATTTTTAGTATCAGAAATAAATTATCAGGAGTTGGGTGTACTCTCCTGTTATGAGCAGTCTTTTTTCAATGCAGGTTGCACTAAATTTGTAAGCTTGATTTTTTGAGACCTGCCTGCTGTTGCTATAAAAATTTACCCTGGTATAACACTTATTCTGGAATATGTTCTAGTTTTGTGACAAACGAAGCAAGATCTTTGTTCTTCTCCTGTTACACTGCTGTTTTTAGTGCAAGAAGTTGGAGTAATAAGAGTAACTAGGTGGTGTTCCCCTTGGAACTCTCTGTATTCTCCATGCAAGAGTCAGAGACCAGAAACTTGAGTTTTCAGGCTGAAACGTGTACTTTTTTTTATACCTATAATTTGTGAAACTTACCTTCTGTATTGCAGATTTGTCTGGGAGGTAACTACAATGTAGGTTTTTTTGGTTTTGTTTGGGTTTTTTTTTATTTTTATTTCTAATGCAGTGCCCCACCCCGTCTCCCTAAGCCCTGGCACCTCTTAGCACTTGTAATTCTTGAGTGCCTAGCAATTGTAGCGCTTGATAGACCAGAAATTGGAAGGTAGCGTA